TAAGAGTGCTATCGTGAAAAGCAAAAAATCTTGAATAAGATGAGGGATTGCCACATTTCCCGAGACATTTTCTTAAACAGCTATAAGCATGAGCCTCAATAATATTAGAGAAAGTCGCATTCGATTCTACAAATGTTATTTATCATACGGAGAAGAATAACATTTTTACTGACAACTATTTATATAATAATCCTTATGATAGATTGAAAATTTCCATTGAATGTTTCTTTCCGAGACATTCAAATTATCACGAAAAGAAGGATTTCATTTTTGTAAATCTATCAGACTTATGTCGATGTCATGCTAGATTAAAATCTTAATTTAAACTTTTTTCCAGTGTTTTATTCAGCGTAAGGGTTGAGAAGTAAAGTCCGTGGACTTGATTCTGAACTCGGTTAGATGTTAGTTCGAAAATTTTGAATATATTGTGCTCTACCAAGAATGTAGTGCCTCTCCGAAGACCGGGTTGGTCCTCCTTAAGTTTACGGTTCTCGTACCAGGCATTATACGTCTGTGCTCTCAAGTATTAGTGTTCGCCCTCGCGAAATTTTAAATTGTCCCTTCGGAAGTAAAAATCTGGATAAAACATGACTTTGTTTTTGTCGATCTAATGACTAATTATAATAAAAGAATCATATCCTTAAAAGAAAAATATCTTTAATTCGAATGAAATAATAATTTTGAAAATTATTTAAATTTTCTAATAAGTTTTCCCAAAAAATTTTTTCATTTGTTTTACCTGTTGTTCAAGTTCATTAATTTGATTTCGTGCTGATGTTAAATCATTTTGTTTTTGTCTTTGTATTTCTTCAATTGCTTTTATTCTTTCTTCATCTTTTTGTTGTGTAAGGTCTTTTCGAATTTTTTCATAATCTGATCTATAAAAAAAATAAAAACAAATTCAATATTTCTAAAAATAACTCGTTCGATTTATTACTTAAATTTTTTTGACCATTTATCATTTAATTCTGATGTTAATTTTTCTATTTTATCTTTTAATTCATTTGTTGAATTGATTTCTAAATTATGATATTGTTTTTTTAATTGATTACATTCCACCTACAAAAATATTTTTTATTTTTTTAAATAAAATTATTCGAAAAAAAAAAGAATAATTCTATACTTGAAATTGCTCTTTTGTTTTTAATTGTTGTTCTAAATCTGAATTAAGTTTTTCAATTTGTTTTTTATATTCCAAATTTAATGATTGAATATCATTGAATTGTTTTTGAATATTTGAATATTCATTTTTATTATTTTCTAATTGTTTTTTTAATTCATTAATCTATATAAAATAGAATTTCTAATAAAATATGTTTTTTTAGAAAGAAGATCTATGTTACTTGTTTTGTATAATTTTCTTTTAATTGATTTAATTCTTGATTAATTTCATTTTGTTCTGTTTTATTTATATTAACTTCATTTTTCCATTGTGCAAGAAGATTTGCTTTTTCTATTTCAAATTCTTGACGAAGTTCCTAAAAATATTTTTAAGAAAAAAGAAAAAACAAGAATTTTATTTAAGAATTTTAATATTCAAATCAAACTTGTTGTTTTAATTCTAATGTTGTACGTGCTCGTATTTGTTCATCAGTTGATAATTGTTGATAATGTTCACTTAAACGATCAAGTTCATTTTGCATTTCTTTTTTACATAATAATACTTGATTTTCATATGTTTCACGTAAATCTGTTAATTCACGATCATATTTTGACATAATTTGTTGTTTTTCGAGTGTTAATTGATGAATTGTCTATGTTGAAAACAAAAACAGAATTTAAGAGAAAAGAAAAACAGAAAAGATTAATACTTTATCTAATTCATGAATACGTCGTTCAAGATAATTTGTTGTTGATTCGGATTGAGATAATTGAGCATGTTGATCTTCTTCGATTTGTCGTAAACGTTGTTTTGTTAGTTCTAATTCTTTACGACTATTTGTTAAATCATCTTCTAATTGATGATTTAAAGAATCTTTATCTTTGAGAAGTTCTAAAATAATATATTTTATTATAGGGTAGATTAATGTTATTAAATGTAAAAAAAAACATGCATTGATATGATAGTCATTATTTAATTATGAGAAGTTTATTTTTGGTTTTGATAAAGGTAGCTAACGCAAAAAACTATAAGTCTTATTAATTGTAAAGAGAATATTAGACGATAGTCTGAGTGCTGATCTTTCAATAAAGACATGATTTTTCTATTAGTCATCTTGTTTTTGCCGAAAAGCTTTGTCATTTTCTGCTTGAAAAATTTTTTTTCAGAAACGGTGAAAAATGTTCTTTTCGCTGTTTTCTCGAGTTGTGCTTTTTGATCGCTCGAGCTCTGTTGTAGTTAACCACTGTTTTTTTTTGTTTGTTTGAAAGAGCACGTAAAACTGTAGTGCCCATCTTTTGAATTAAGCATTTTAATTATTATATGAAAAAGAACTTCTATAAATAGATGAATATTTCTTTAAAGTTTTCCGATGTATTCAACCAATCAAGAGTTTCTCCGCATAAAAAATAACACTTTCTCAGGCACTGAAGACTGACATGGGCTTTTAAACAAAAAAAATTAAGTATATGGAATTAAGACCCATACAGAATTTTGGATTGCTAAATGAGCGAATTTTGATGTTTGTTTGTTGAATATCTCTTGAAAATGTCATGCTATTTGATTGTACCTGGTCCAAGGTCGATTTTTGAGGGGCATCTTAAGACTTGGTACAGTTTCCGTAGATTTTTTTCTCGAATCATGATCATTTTAACAAGTTTTTCAATAGTAAAATCGAAGTATCTCTGAAATAATTATCAAAAGTAACTTTTGAGTTCGAATTTTGAACGAATTCAGTTCGCAATCCAACTAATTCATTTTAAAGGCATAAGACTTTCTAATGTCTCTTATCTTGAGATATGAATGTAAGAATGTCGTTGGCTTTTTGTTTTTCGAATAATAAAATTTTCTGTTAGAATATTTGAAGATAGAAGATATTAGAAAACGTGACACTTTCATAATAAATGAGTTCGTTTGAAAAAACTTTATTTATGCAAAATAAGTATTTGACAGTTGCAAATCTATTTGAAGATAATTGAAAAACTCAGCCATGATTTAAGACTTCTATCAATTTATTCAGTGACATGTCCTCGCAAGACATGATTGTATAGCAGAAGAAAAAAAAAACCGGTGAAACCAAAAATCACAAGTATGTGTGGAGAAGATATTTTCTTATTGCATTGTTTGCTTTTTCTTATGTAACGAATTCAAACTCGTTTTTATTAAAAAAGAGGATTACATTACACATAGAAATGAATGAATTTTTGAGAGCGTTGTAGTTTGATATGCATGAAATTTAAGCTTTTGAATATATGATTGTCTTTTCAAGTGATGAAGAGGCAAATTGTGTAAGTGATGATGATCGTTTCTTTTAATTTTTGTTGTTGAATTCATAAGCTATTCAATCTACATTCGAATTTTTTTATCTCAAATTTCCACAAAATGTTGCGTTAAAGAAAATCAAGGAGATATTTTAAGTTCAATTTTTTTATTATTAGACACAGTGAACGTTTGTGCGAAGAGTTCATACTGATTTTAATTAATTAAAAGAAAGAGATTGAAAACAGATGCATAACGACTGTGGCGAATCAAATGTGCTTTTTTTTTTATAACTTTCTACGAGTTTCAAATGAGATTAAAAAAATAAGAATTTAAAACTAACAAAAGAACTTCTCCAAATGATCAATCACTATTAAGTTGAGGCTATGTGCATCGTGTAAACTCTAATGAACTATGAATATTTTACTAGGAGCTTGGATTCTTAGATTATTGTTGCCGAGATATTGCACTTCTACATTAGGTTTTTAATTAATGCTTTGATCTCCTTCAGGCACACTAATAAAACTCATTTTCGAATTTCGACTTGAAATTCTCTGCAGAGACAAAGCTTAATAAAAATAATTTATTATGAAAGTTTCAGATCATTTCATTCTTCTCATCCTAAGATAAACTATTCTTGTTAAATACTGTCTCGGTTCACAGTTTCAAGCTGAGATTTGAAAATGAGTGTCTCTGAGGGGGAGGGGGGGGGGCATGACATTGACTTGGAAAGATCCGTAAGAATGTAACATCTCAGCAGTAATGAGATAAGAGTCCGAACTGTTTTCAAGGTGTTGATAACTCATTAGGATCTATATGGCGGACATAGTCCAGATTCCAAAACGATTAATTACTTGCGAGACTTCTCTCATAAGAACAGAAAAGATTTTATTAATATTTTAGGTTTTACTGAATATTATTCTCAACTTAATTTCTTACTTAATTTTTCTTCAAGTTCATTAGCTTGTCGATTAAATCGTTCTTTGACTGTATTCATTTCACGATTAGTTTTATCTAATTTCTTTTTTAATTCTTCATATTCATTACGTTGTTTTATTAACTAAAAAAATAAATAAAATAATAATTAGATATTTTTTTTTTATCTTTATTTATACCTGTTGATTAATTTCTGTCATATCACTCGAATTTGCATTAAAATTTAATTTATATTGTTCAAATTCGTTTTGTAATTGTCTATATTCATTAATTTTAATATCAAATTGATTTTTTTGTTCATTTAATTCTAATTGAGATTTAGTATTAATTTGTTCAATTTGATCTTGAAAAAGTTTAATTTGTTTTTCTAATTGATTTTTTTCTTTTAAATATTCTTCTCCTAATTCATTTTGTGTCATTTGTTGATGTTTTTGTTTATTTAATAAATCATTATGTTCACGTTTTAAATCTTCAATTGTTTGTAAATAATATTTTGTTTGTGCTTCATTTTCAATATCAAATAAATGTTTTAATTCACTTTTTAAATTATCAATTTCTAATTGATGTTCTTCATGAAGTTTTTCAAATGTTTGTTTATGTTCTTTATTCAAATTTGATACACGTTCATCATAAGTTTGTTTTATTTGATGAATATTTTGTTTGAGATTAGAAATTTTTAAACGAAAATCTTCAGCTATTTCGTGTTCATGTTCAATAGATGATTGTTGAATACGTAAAACTTCATTAACATGATTTTGCCTAAAATATATTCGATTGATTGAACTTTCCTTTTTCTTTTTAGATTTTTATGAAAAAAAATAATTTACTTTTCAGTTTCAAGCATTTGAATTTTGTTTTCATATATAGAATTTTGTGTAGATTTAATTGATGAAAGTTTTTCAACACGACGAAGTAAATCATCAATTCTAGATGAAGCATTATTTGCTAAAGCAATTTTTTCTTGTTCAAATGCTTGTTTTAAATTAGATACTACTGTTTCATGTTCATCCGCTTTTGTATTTAATGCATAAATGACCTAAACATTAAATGAATATTTTAATTTCAGTACTAAAGTCAAATTAGTTGACTTCATTTTTATCTATAGAATTTTTTCATTTTTTTTTCGTTGTCACGTTCTATTAAAATATGATATTTTACGTGCCGAAAATCAATATTGATTATAAATGTACAAAAAAATGTCACACTTTCACAAACTTATGCAAATAAATCAGTAAAGTTTCCATAAATGTGAATTACTCATAGATGTGAATTATTCATAGATGTAAATTATTCATAAGTTTATAAATCGAGAGTAATAGTCATTAAAATATCGATGAATAATTAATCACTGTTAAATAAATCGGATTATCTTAGAAAAAAAAATAATCATATTATAAAGTAATGTTTCATACTCGGGTGTCTTTTTCTATTAGCTTTTTGACAGTTTTTATAGAAATTGATTGCAGTATTGTAATCGTTTTATTACAAGAATATTTTCATTGTACGATATTATGCTGTTGATCTCATAGAAAATATATTTTAAACAAAGATTATATAAGTATATCCTAACTACTAAATAAGATGTTTGAACGAAGAAGTCTTCGATAATAATCTTTTTTCCATTAAATGAAAGAAAAATTTGAATGTTTTTATCGTTATAAGTCCAGCTATGTTATACATCGAGTGTTTTTGATAGATTAAAGTCTACAAGTCTAGCTAGTTTTGATCGAAGTATCTATAATAGAAGAACAATATGACTGCATATGACAGAACATATCGATAAATGTCAACTAACTTCCATCACTTGAGAAAAATATTAAACATATGGTTTTATAGTTTGGCTTATTTGTATGATAAAGGTTATATGGAAGTCAATAGTGAACAATAAATGATACAAATATTTTACAAAGGGAACTAATTTTCCATATCTATCTTTAATTATATTTCATATAAATTTTAATTTATTGTTAAAACTAGAGAAATCAATAGAAATAATTGTTTATTTAATTAATTTTTTTTATTACTATTAATGCATGAAAAATGAACACCTGTGTTTTTTTCGATTATTTATTTTAAAAAGATCTTAATTGATTTTCTATTTTTTTTCTCTTTTTTAGCTATGGGCAGAATATATAAACACATAAATGTTCTATTTTCGATCTACTTCAATAATTACTTTTCTAATTTTCACTAACAAATGATTTATACTATCATTTAAGAACAACGATTATCATACTAACTGTCAGTAAGAGTATTTTCTGATTACGGTCTGTTGCCATCAGCTCATTATATGCACGTATGAAGGGGAAAGTAAAGAACTACTAAAACAGCGATCTGTCAAAGGTTGACGATAAAATGATGTTGCAAATGATCAAATAAACAACCGTAATATACAAAACAACAAACAAGAGAAAAAGTTAACGGAGCAAAATCAGTATACATTGCTATCTATAATGCTTGTATTATAGTGTAACAATATATTTTTGTTAGTTTTAATGGTTCTAGCAAGAACAACTGACATGTGAAAAGGGTACTATCTTCCTTATTCAAATATGATTAGCATGCTTGAGAAGGCCAAGCTAATCGATATGAAATGAAAAAAAGAAAAGAGCAAATCCTTCTATTGACATATAATATTTTCTTTTATCGATATGGACACAAAGTATCTGTTATTATTATTTTTTTTTCGTTTTATTCGTCGCATTCTCTTTCTTACAATATTGTTCATGATTACTGTTGTATAAAAAAATAAAGAATCGAAGAGAACGCACGTATGCAGTGTACAACGCCTCGCATACCAAACCGCAGTGTCTGTACATATAGAACATAACTATTGCCACACTACATGCATGCACAAGGTTTCAACATTTCTTTTACTCGTTCGTAACGCCTTCGTTTGCTTTTTTTTCTCCCTCTTTCCGTGTATGCATGTACGCTTCTCTATACTCTTTTCTTTTCTTCTTCTTCTTCTTCTTCTTCTTCTTCGTCTTTGCCCGTTACACACGAGACGTGCTGTAACCATTTTTTTTGTCGCGCACTTTGTGCACAGCCACTCTTGCCAGTAAATGATTTGTACACAATCTGACGCTGTAACATATATTCGAAAAAACAAAAAAAAAAGAAAAACTTCAAACCGTACGTCATGCATGTTTAAATCACATATAGCTTCTTATTTTTATTGAGGTGTACATAGAAAAATATCTATGTAGATTGTTTCTTTCATTATATATTTTTACAGTAGAGTAAAGGAAAACAGCTGAAATTCGAAAGAACAAAAGCTACTTTTTTTAGATTATTCCTTTTTTTTCTTAACAACATGGGAAATAAAGCGGGTGGTCAAGGCAAAAAAGATCCGACTATATTAACTGATGAAGATCTAAAAGTATTAAAATTAAATACTCAATATACAGAAGAAGAAATTCAAGCATGGCATACAGGTTTTCTTAAAGATTGTCCATCGGGTAAACTAGATAAAAAACAATTTCTTAATGTATATAAGGTATGGTTTATTTTTTTATTCAAATGAATTGTAAATTTATTCCATTTCTTTTTCTTTTTTTGTATATTAGAAATTTTATCCAGAGGGTAAAGCTGATAAATATTGTAATTTTGTATTTAAAGCATTCGATATAAACCAAAATAATACTATTGAATTCACTGAATTCTTGTAAAGAAATCAAATTTACTTGATCTTTTTATTTCTAATTATTATTAATCTTTTTTCTTATTAAGATTAGCTGTTAGTATATCTCAACATGGAAATCTTGAACAGAAATTAAAAATGGCTTTTGATATTTATGGTAAAATATTACTGTTGAATTTTTATATTATTATTTCCTTTTTAAACTTAGATCAAAATAAAGACGGAGAAATAAATCGTAAAGATATGATTAAAATAATCGAAGCTATGTATGATTTAGCTAATGAAGAAGATCGTGCTGGTGATAAAGCACCTGCTAAACGTGTTGACCTGATTATGGAACGTTTAAAGAAAGATAAAACTGGTAAAATATTTAATTCTGTGGTCAATCTTATCTTTATATTCTTTATATAGATGTTGTTCTTCGTACTGAATTTATTCAAGGTTGTCTTCGAGATGAACTTTTACGTAAAATTCTTGCACCTAATACGGCTCTTTTGCCAGGAGGACAAACGTCTACTACAACGACTACCACAAATGTTCCAATATATACAACAACATCAATTAATGAAACGGGTGCAGCTGTTTAGACGTTAACAGTATATAAACACTCTTCTTTTTTCAAGCTTTGTTTTTACTACACAATGTATATGTTTGTTGAAGACATGGTGCTCTTTTTTTTCACTTATTTGCAAATAATAGATAAGAAAAGATATAAATAAACGTCTTCTTTTGAAAATGCTTACTTTTGTCAATTGAGCAATTTTTTTTGCCATTTTAACATGCATTTCTTGTGTAAGTGTTGTATCTTCATCGAAATTTTGATTTGTTGATGCTGATGATGCTTGTTGTTGTTGCTGTTGATGAAAAAATGATGTTGAAGATGTATTTGATGTATGATGATTTTTAGTAAACATTTTAGTACTAGCCATAATTTGATTTATCTAAAAGAAAATGTTGACAGATAAACACATGATTTATTAAATCAATCAATGCATAGAGAAGCCATTTTATGGGTATTTTTCATGTATTGTTGCGTAGTTTCAAAATAATGCTATGTTGTTTATTAATTAGAAGAAAAAAACAAATCAATATTATAAACTAATGAAAATAGATTTTAAATGAAAATAATGAGAAATATTTTGAAATTTTAATTAATGATATATATATAAAGTTGACGACGTGCGACATCTAACAGATCAATACACATTTCAAATTGATAACATAAATTTATCAAACATAGATCACTGTATTCTACTAGATTGAAGTTATTCTAGTCAAATCTGCAGAAAGTTTTTCTTCTTTTTCAAATATCAAATATTTTGAAATTCTTAGCTTTTGCTTGCGAACTATGTACTGACTGCAAATGCATCTTTACAGAGCTTAATGCGATTAAATTTTGTAATGTACGATGATGCACATTAAGTGGGGAAGCCAAAATGAACAAATATTGCTCCTTGTATGGATTTATTGGTGAATAAATTCTAACATTCAAACAACAACGAAAAACAAAAGACGTTAGTTAGAACTATTGACTTTAGATTTCACGTTCCTACGATGTAAAATAATAATTAAGATAAGATTGATTTCGGTTGAAGCTGTGTCAGTAATCGTTAAAGTTGTGAAAAGAAGATTTTTAGTTCAATCAATGTCTACATTTTTAATACGTGCCTATTTAAATATAAAGTGCTTCTATTAAATGTAGTGATACTCGACATTTTCTTCGTCTTCAGATATTTATTCACACTAAATGCACATTTATTGTTAAAAACCGTGATTGTTTTCATGAGTTCCACGTTGCAGAACACTATATTTTCACTGCAAACTTTGTCTTCCGATCAACTGATGGTGTTCAACCGTGATTATAATTAACTTCACTACTGTATATGAAATCTACAGAAACTGGAGTATTTGATATTACTGTGTTAGACATCTTGAGTAATTGCGATTTCAGTTTTCGTATGACGATAAAACTTATAGTTAATCCTATTTTTAGTTAGTATTTTCTATCGTAAGTAGAAGACACAGAACTAGGATCAAGTTCCTTGAAATATGAAAAACTTCGACGAACTGCTGCATCTCATACCATGGTTTGACCGTTGGAAATCTCAGTTGGTATTTAATGCGGTGAGAAAATCCGCAGTAAACTGCAGTTTTACTAAAAACTTTCATTGAGTACAAAATATTCTGATTTTTATCAATGATAGAAATTTGTTTGAAGTTCTTATTCACGAAAACAACGTCATGAAATAGTGCTGGGAAGTAACAATATCGGCTTCAAAAACGATGTGTAGTCTTGTCTAACAAGGATTCATGCATACATTATGTGCACATATAAAAACTTTAAATTCAAGGGTATATTATTTTATGTAAAGCAAATCATACTACTAGAAATATTACTTCTAAGCGTCGAATTCAAGTTGTTAACTAATTGATAATATATTGTGAATACATGAACATGTGCTCTTCGATAATAAACTTTAGAATATATGGTCCATGAGAGATTTTCGGTATATTTAAAAAGCTACAAATCGTTTTAGAAGGCAACGCTGTTAAGTTTAAGCAGTATTTTTTGACATTGTTTTTATAAATAAAAATTTTGAATTCTTCTCTGTCACTGATCACAAATTACCATATTTAATTTACATAGAATGAAAATATTAAAGTTTTCATATTGTATTACTATTTATGATTCACACTGTATATTTTGATAAACTCATTGTTACATTTAATAAATCTTTCGTTGCTTTCGGAAGTTATCCTTGTTTCATTTTTTTGTCATCTAAACATCTAACTTTTACTGTTGATGGTATTTTGTCAAATTTCAATGGCATTATCATAACAACTATATGTTTGGAAATATTTTCTTTAAAAAAATTGAACCATCATAAATTCTGTAGTTTTATTCATTCTGTTCTCAAATAAAGTGACTTTCTATATGTCAAATTGAAGCTCTTTAAATTGATTAAATGATATCCATTTTTTGATTTGTGTACTTTTGGATTTCATTTTTTGATTTGTGTACTTTTGGATTTCATTTTTTTTTCTGCTTCACTAGATGGTATGTAGTACAGACAATTAAACATCTTGCATAACATAAAATCTTTACAGTTACTTTTCAGTATCTTGTAAAATGGTATTCATTAGCCTATTTTGTAAGTATATTTGTTGATTCTGTTGAAAAAGATGATTGGAACTGTTTGATCCTGATTACTGAACTTCGACTATTCAAGTATCATACGTTATGCAATTGTAAAAAATGTTGATAAGGATTTTGCTCCTTAAATATATGTTCATCTTTGGTGACTTTATTTGTTGCTTCTAATGAATTTTTGTGTTTGGTATAAAGGTTCTTCATCTCGTATACCATGAATCATAAGTTTTTGACCATATTTTTTGCAACGTTTCAGAAAATTCGTTTTCTCTTATGTCAAAAAATAAGAATGATGCATTTCTAAAGACGATTCTTGCATTGAAAGTGACATAGAAAAACTCTGGAAAAAGAAAATGTCAATACCATATTATTAGCTAATAACTTTTATCTTATTTTTAATAATTTGATTTGATTCTAATAACATTTTTTCACTTATCTAATTTTCTTTATAATCATAAATTCAATTTATTAACTTAATAATTAAATATTTTATTGTTCTATAAATTATCAAACTTAATAAAAAATTCTGATTATTAAGAAAAATGAATATAACTGAGCATTTAATCATTTTCTCTAAAATAGAACCTATGTATCAAAGTACATACAATTATTATTTAATGAAGAAATAGTAGCTTTTCAAATACCTCTTCGATTGCTTCATCGTATATTGTTGGTATTGGTTTTCAGATTTTTTCATTGATTACTAAAAGAACATAAGACATTCATGTAGTGACCGGTTTTCATCAGTGGTAACCCCGAAGCAGCCAGCATTGGAAAGGAGAGAGCTGTCACGATTTTTCGCAAGGGAATAAAACCTTTCTCTGAAAAGAATACAAAAAGAAAATTTCAGCTGCGCCGGAAAAAAAATAGAAAATTTTCACGATTAGGTAGGAGAGTGTTACATTTCCTCCCCAGTCGGATCACCACTATGTTTAACTAAGTATAACTTTAACGTTATAACTTTGTTTGCTTCTGAAGTAAGTATTATTGATATACATGATCTAAATAAAGTAACAATCAAATAGTAAGTGTTTTTTTCGAGATAACAACAAACTATTCTATCCGATTTACATTCATTATGGAATAAGATTTGATTCTTTTGTTTTCCATTAATTTGCTTATAGTTACTAATTGAAACACGGTAATTCTCACAGACAGTATCTTGAAAAAAAAGATGCAAAGTACAAATAGTTATGAAAAATAAATATGAAAATGATCACTGAAATCAACAAAAAATTTATTACAATTTAGGTGAAATAGTTTCAAAGCGCATAAACCATTTCTGAATAACAATAATCAACAGCACTGACTCTCACAATATCGTAGTCCTCTACATCCATGTTGAACGTAACTGAATTGGTCCAAGATAAAATAGTGCTTCTCTTTACAAGAAACGGATGTCAACAAGAAAATTGCCTGTTGAAATAAGACGTGTACTACTGCTATTGCACGAAGATCTTGGCTATTTCCTATCAATAAACAAATCAAAAAGTCAATGTGATTGATATGGGCAAAAACAATGGGTTGATTTTGAAAAATGGATGTTAACAGAATGTTTTCAATGAGTACAGGTACTATCGCAGTAAAAAAAGGTTTGCTGATTATTGCCCTGCATTTATTCCAAAGAACCGTTGACCATAAAATTCACCTAATTCAAGTCCATTAGATTACAGTTAATAAAATGTATCGACTATAACTATGAATTAGGTCCATATAACAACAAAAACAACATTGATAAACGATATAGAATATTCTGTCAAAAAAATTGAGAAAAGAAAGTTTTACATTCCATACTCTTTTTTTTACTCTACAGTTACGTCGGATTCAAAAAAAATGAAGAAAACTATATTTATTAAATAATTTATATCATTCTGTGTAGAGGTTCAAGCGCTACCTTTTGATAAAAGAAGATGTTTCAATGAAGCGAATACTAAAGGAGAAATTTTGAAAATACTAAAAGTGCAATTATTTACGGCTCACCCACTATACGTATCTTTTTTGTTGTTATATTTGAGCTATATTTATGAAAAAGTACATTTTAGCTATATGAGATATTGATTTGTACTTGATCATTGAAGAATCACTCGAAGTTTTTCTTTCTTCTGTGAACAAAATAAATTCATGTTACTTTTTTTTGTTAACATTTTCTTATTTTACATGTAATATTTATGTTTATTTAGAAAGTAATGTCGGAACAATGTTCAATTGCAACATGTACACGTGTGTCATATGCATTATGTCATGGTTGTCAATCAAATTTTTGTCCAGAACATATGGTTGAACATACTATGCTAACTCAATTAGAAATAAATCCATTAGTGAGTGATGTCATAATTCTGTTACAGCCCGTATCCATATCTATCCTAAGCAATTACGACATTACATACCTCGCGTATCAAATCCATTATCATCGCCAACATCTACTGAGCATCTTTCAAAGTTGCAAAATATGAGTGGATTCAGTGTTACCACATCGTTACAGCAAATAAACTATGTATTTAGAAGCTGAGGAATATGAGTGGATTTACTATAACGACCACGTTACAGAAAATGAACTATGCATTTAGAAGTTGAGGGATATGAGTGGATTTAGGGTATTACCCTTTCCGTAATGAGACGTGAATTGAGATTGATCTAGCTATGTATTTAGAAGTTGAGGAATATTAGTGGATTTAGAGTATTATGTTTCGCATAATGCAGTAAAAATGGAGATGGATTTATCCTAATGAATATCATTATTAGGAAATAGTTCTTTTATGTTTGATGTTTTGGATGGAACATTAAAGTATGTAGTATGGACGGTGATGCACTTTCGAATCACGGTCCTCATTCAGGTCCGACTGTCCGAGCACCCTCACTTGGCACTTTGCCCTCTGGTCTTGCTTTCATACGATCAACAGTTGACCTAGGACGCAGGGTAATTGAAATTTCTTATGAGAGATGTTATGCATTTTATACTGTTGTTACGTATGGTTTAGGAAGTGAACGGAGGAAGCATTGAGCTATTTATATTCAACAATCGGTGATCTTCTGTTTTATACCGCGTTCTACTACACTTGTTCAACCAGCTTTAAACAGAAATAATACTCTGTTACGAAATCTCAATACACTTATGCTTTTTATGGAAATATCTTGTTCAATGGCACTTTACATAAAGAACCAGTACCATTCGTCAAAGAAATATAAAAACTATGCTTCTTATATTGAATACGTGCAAAAAAAATTCAAACTCTTGAATGTAATGTTCTTCTCATATCAGCAAAGAGAAATTAATATATTCACATATAAATACAATTTGTATCTGTCTCATTGCTGACTCTAAACGATTGAAATAAATAAATAATCCTATACATATGTATATAATGGGAAATGTTGTATCCGTTGTTTACGTGCTTTCAATATTCCAAATATCAACATAGATTCCACATAGCCGATTACCATATTAATACGTCATTGATGTCATTCTGATACGTCATTTTCCATTACAATATAAAGACCAAATATATGGATATAAAATATTTATTTTAAATTTAAATGTATCATGCTTTATTTCTTCTACGAAATGGTCTAAATACGAGTGCAGATACGCACTTGGAAAGTCAAACAACTGATATTGTTGTATTTGAAGAAAATATAATTTATTTCTTGTGGTCATGAAATCATTAAACTGAATCAACTAAAGCTCTTCAATCTTCAGATTATATAGCTAAATTTGAAGTAACGAGGTGATTACAGTAAATCCACTCATATCCCTGAACTTCTAAATACATAGTTCACTTTATGTAACGAGGTCGTTATAGCAAATTCACTCATATCCCTGAACTTCTAAATACATAGTTCACTTTATGTAACGAGGTGGTTACATTAAATCCACTCATATCCCTTAGCTTTCAAATACACAGCTGTATCGAAATGCATTGAGATGCTATTACGCGAAGGGTAATACCCTAAATCCACTCATATTTCTCAAGTTATATGATGGATATATTTTTGGTACGATAATGAAGTCATTACTTCTTGGTACAATATGTAATGGTAATGTCAATATACTTTCGTTGTTCATTGTTGAGGGTATCGTGACGGCTGGCTGTCGATACCCGTCGTATTGGTATTATGACATCTATGCCATTAGTGGTTGAAGTTAATGAAATGAATAATGAATTACATAAATTAACTCTGAAGAATTTACTTCATTCTTCCTATAAAAAGCTTGACGAATGGCGTAAAAAATCTCATCAAATGATTGAAATGTATTTTACAGAAAAAACTAAAGAATTAGATTTATATATAAATGAAAAAGTCAAAAACTTAAAAAATAATTTTAATGAAATTTATGCAAAAATCAATTCATTTGTAAATGAAAAAGAAACAACACATGAACAAATTAATTTATTAACATTTGAAATTCAAGGTTTACATAAAGATATAAATAAAATAAAAAATAATGATTTTCAAATTCAAATAAATTCTTTAATTTTAGACGAAAATTTAATTAACTTTGATCAATCATTTCATGCATCAATTCTTCCACCTGTATATAGAGTAATCGATCGTAATGAAGAAAGTTTTACGCCATTAGCTACTGATAATCAATTTTTATTATTACATCATGAAGGTACATTACTTTTAGTTGATGAAGAATTAACAACACCTAAGCAAATTCCATGGAACCACGGACCAATTTATGATATGTGTTATTCATCGGCATTAAAACGATTGAAATTTATACTATTATTATATAGTTAAGCTTTGGATGTTTCTACTCTTTCTCTATTGTTAAATAAACAATAGCAAATATTGTATAATTCTTTTTTGCTAATCATGAATATTCTCAGCTGAATGAAACCTGAATTTCATTGTAAAAGATACAAGAAATCAAGTATATTTATCACTATACCAGTTCTTCGTAGATTACATTTCAATTTTCAGATTGAAATTGATTTTCAAAATATTATGGGAATAATAAAAAAAAATGATAGCTTTTTTGTTACTTATCACGTTTATATTTTACAAGATTATCAGTAGGTGACTATTAAAGAAAGAATAGAATTCAGTTCTTTATCAAGAATATCAGAACAAGAACAATAGAAAAGTTCAACGTCATTTGTATTTTAAAATTTGCTTGAAGTATAGTAGTGCACAAAAGTCTTTGCTCCAGTCGATCTTGCCCACTGTATATGCTGAAAGTCTGAAAATTTTTGTACGCATATTTCACAAATAATGTGAATCATTGGTTTTACAGTGTCGTTATTGCTTAAGAACAAAGGGAATTATGATGGTTGAAATCCATTTTTGTTGTCAGTCGGCTCCTCAATATGTAATGCTGTCCCCGAGTTACATACATTATTAATTTCATTGAAGTTTACCAATCCTTTCAATAGGCTATTCTCTGACTGCCATTCTATTACCGATATACTGTCAGTTCTTATTTGCACTGCGATAGTACGAACAAACGTGCAGCAGAGAGTGTTCATCGACAATCATTTCGAATTCAACGTCATGAAATCTTTTTTTCTCGTTGTTTGACTCGGTCACATTGTATTGAGATAGTTTGGAGTTTCGAAAGCAAATAAGATGTTCATGTATTCTTGCTCAATCAAAGATTTTTCAGTCTTGATAACAATTAAATGTTATGTATATGCAATTAAAAATGAATATCTCTATTCATGTCTATTGAATTGATATTATTGACACTAAGTTAAAATAATTTAGCATGGCTAATGAATTGTTTAATTTTATCTTTTCCAAATTCTCAATTACGTAATGTTGAATAATTTCATTATAATCATAAATGAAAATGAAGTATTTCTTTTAAATAAAGGAAATATGACAATCGATAAAGTTCGTTCAATTCCATGGCAACAATGGTTTTCTTGTACATGTTCTGATACTTCTCTATATTTATCAACAAAAGTTTATAATTCTTCACTTTTACAATTTAATTTATTACCTTCAATAGTATTTTTTTAAAAGATGGTCATCTCCTGATTTATGTACAAATGATGAGGCAATTGATGGTATTGTTTATAATGATAATAAACTTGCTTTAATGATTAGTAATGATGCAAAAAAAATTTTACGTATTGAATTAAGATCTGCTACAACATTTGATCGTATTTTGTCACTTCTACTTGATATTGTTTATAATGAGAAACAAGCATATCGATTTTGTTCAATTAATCATAATGAATAGGTTGTAGCTGATCGCAATGATTCACGTCTTTTACATATAATAAAAGATGGAGTAATGAAATCAGTAGGCTCATATCAGCCAGCTCCATATTGTTTGATTGAATTTGGACATAATGTGTTAGCTATATCAACAAAAACAGTTGTTAATTTACACAAGTTATCATAAATCTTTAGAGAAATCTTATTTTGAAATATCCTCTGTTTTTCTTTCTTTAATTGCTTATTCTCAAATGGTGATTATTTTAATCTTTGTAAGATATTTAGAAAATGCTCATTCAATACATACATTATAATAAATATAATTATTTGAAGTTTTAAGAGTAATTAATAATTTATTTATTGTTTTTTTTTTTGTAAAATAGTTGAAAAATGACTCAAGTACAATTATCTTTAAATAAATAAATAGTCAGTTTTTCTCTGGTCAATATCATATGTACTTTAAAATAATAAATGTAGAAGAATGAATCAGAAGGCAGAGGTCCACGACAAAATAAATTTGTTCCGTTTTACTTTTATGCTGTAGAAATTAATAAGATTTTCATATTCGTTACACTTTAGTCTCTTTGGACCTTTTAGAATATAGGTGTTGGTACGAGTGGGAGTGTCGCTGCATTGAGGATGCCAAAGGGTGCTAAATGAACTAAAAGGACTAAAGGGTTGGCTTGGAGGAACTAAAAGTAGAACAGAATAAATTTAATTTTTCGTGAACTCCTCTAAGATTCTTTGTAGTGATTTGCCATTTTGTTAATTGGGTCTTTGTTTTTTCGTAGTATTTTAACTTTCTCGTCTAAATTGAAACTTTTATCAAAAAAGTTTCTATTCTTTTATTACTAATTTCTCGACTATTTTTCGTTCGACTATTCATCACTTTCCCCAAGTCAATCTTTATTGTCGACATAATATTAACATTACAACATAGATTATACACAAGTTTAGAGATAAAAAGAAAAATCAAGAAATAGCAGTTTTTCCTTTTCCGTTAAGCAACAATAAATGACGAACCATCTAAATATTCAATTACGTTTATAAGACCACCATAATACCGTGAGGGTTCAAAAAAGCATGGTCATTTTTTATTTGTCGAATATTGTTACATTATGAATTCTTTTTTTGTTTCTTCTTCTTTGACATAATACTGGATATACGATACACATATATATGTATTGTTCTCTTTCTATTGCCTTGTTTTCTAGGCTTTATTTCATGTTATTCGTTTCTATTTATTGGGATTTTTCCCATGTGTCCACTTACAAATAGTGAACATTTCGTATATAGACAAGAATCGTTTTTCACTCCTCAACAAATTTTTTCGAAGCTTTTTATTCTGATTTTGTATTAATCAATTCTTTTATTATCTTAAATCAACTAAATGTCGAAATCTACAAATTTAAAACCTGACCAACGAATGAAAATAATTACAACTGGTATGGAAATTGAGAATTCAGGACGAAAAGTTACATATACGGAATTAGCAAAAAGAACAAATTTCAACAGAAAAACTTGCTCGCTTTGGTGGAACCGGAAAGATTTACTGTTGAAAACAGGAATATTATGTGATCGTAAAAAAGGCAAGTCAGGCCGTCCAATTCATCAATCATTTTTAAACGAAGAAAAAATTGATCAAGCAATTTTTATATGTGAAAACTTGAAACCTGGACAACATTTAGAAGATGCTGCAAAGGAATTAAAGTGTGGGAGAAGTACCTTAAAAAGACATTTAAAGAACAAAGTTACATGGAAAAAACCGCCAAAGAAAGAAAAAAATCATAATGACTCTGTTTCTGCCAAAAGAATTAATTTTGCTCGAGCGTTATTGAACAGACGTGGTGTATTAAAACCAGTCTTTGAAAACATTACATTTCTTGATCACAAAAGAGTTTATGCATATGGTCAAAATTGGACACATCAACGACAATGTAGAAGAAAAGGATCAACAAAACCATTAAGGCCTTTATTACTTTCAAAATCCAATCCATCTATTCATGGTATGTTCATTGCAAATAAACATGGAAGTGATGTATATTTACATGGAAGATCACAACTACGTCCTAGGAAACAAGTTAAGACATGGATTGATGAGCCAGTACATGAACAGTCTTATTTACATGCTTTAAGAAATTGTGTTATTCCATTCATGAAAGCGACCAATTCAAAAATTTTGATGACCGATTGTGTAAATTTGAATCATACATTAAAAATTCGTGATCTTTTATTCAACAACCGAATAGAATTATATGGAAGTGCTGGATATCATCATCAGGTGTATGGTGGTTATCCTCCGTATTCTCATGATTGTTCTATATTAGACTCATCTATGTTTGCAACTTTGAAAAGTGACATTAGTAATGAAATTGCGATCAATACTGATTTGGTTGATTCGGATCATATTTTGATTTATATGAGTGAAATAATTCCACAAATATGGAAATCAGATAAATACAAAAATACTGCGAAAAGTCACATAGCTGGATATCCAAAACGATTGCAAACAATAATCGACAATGATGGTGATATAATTACCAAGTACATCTAACTTTTTTTATTTGTAATTTTTTTTATGTGTTAAAAATAAAAATGACCATGCTTTTTTGAACCCTCACGGTACCATTGACTAATATTACCTACACGACGTTGAACGGCGATTCTTTTGGCTTGCTTTGTTGTTGCATCAATAATAACCTATAGAGAATTAAAGTCAATATTTAATATAATTGAAAACAATATGTGTTTCATAGAACACTAAAAATAATAATAGCAACGCATATGAAAGATTGTTTTTCTTTTTCTATTTAAGCTTTAATAAATAATAAACAATACATTTAGCTAATATGTCGATCATCTTCAGAGCTTTACTTGTGCGACGACCAACCGCTTAATTCTGTTCTTACACATTCTTCAAAGAATAGAAAAAGAGAAAAAAACAATCTCTTCGAGTTCACTGCTATTGTTAAATGCATTCTTTTACCAAGTCGATCTTCAACAAAGGTCTTCTTACGACTCGCATAAAAGTGATCAATATTATTAAAAACGTTTAGTAAATTCAAAAAAATAATCAAATTTAAAAGCAGAATTAAATACGGATTCAGTGCAGATGAAAATTAGCAGCTACATTTGTGAAAAAACGAAAAAGTAATTTAAGATCGTAAACCCAATGACAGACAGCAATATTCACAATTGAATTATGTGTTTACTATCAAGAAAACCGAAGTAGGAGAACATAGATGCTACTGATCGTCACGATCATTTATAAATAATTGTTATCCTTATGCTCAAAAAAAACCTTGGAATAATTTTGTTACAGAGAAAACTTTTTCATAAAAATTCTGAGGTACGCACTTTACTCGACATTTTACCTTTTTATGAAATCTTATTATTTTAAATCGATCAAATACAAAGTGAAATATGTCGAATGATGTTATGAGACATTGGACGCAGATGTTTTTCTTTTTTTTCAAAATTATACCTTGAAAGACGTCAATCATCAAAGCATCCATACAACACATTGCAAAGCTTTTTCTTTTCCCTTTCATTCAATTGCAAGATGAATTAGCAAGAAAAAAGGTAGTCTGCTGTTTTGTTTTTAAAATATAGAGAACAAAAAGAGACACTATTTCTGTCTACGACATTAACTTGACTTCAATTTTATTGTACCCATCATAATAATAATAATTGACAATATACATAGCCAATATAAAAAAAGAAAACTTATTCTTTTTGATAAATATGACTTGACTTGTCTAATATCTATATGTGTCATTAGATGATATTCTTCTAATAAAATAACTAGATTTTCTTTTGTTTAAAAAATTCTAGTTCGTTTAATTCAAAATATTTTATTCATGACATATACTCAGTAATATTCAAAACTATTAAATTCAGCAAACTTAATTTTGTTCTATGTTTTTAAAAAGTTTAATTATCTATTTTACCATGTGAAAATAAAAAGAGAGATTTTTATTGATATTAGACTATCTCTAAAGAATACGCTCAAAATATGAATTGAAATAATTAGTACGAAATAGGTCGTGCTTGTTATGAAAGAAACCAATCCTCTGCTTATGTAGCATTAGAAACAAAACACTTCAAACTATTCGTAATATTAAATAAGAAGAAAAAATGAAAAAGCACGTTTCAAAAGTAAAAAAACGAGGCTCTTAATATGTTTTTTTTCAAAGAAAATAATAATTTGTCCTTAAATAACTTTTCAGTCTATAAACAAGAATCTAGAGTTTGCTGTTATTTTTTGCTTTTATTAATAAAAAATAAGCAGTTCTTCGTCGAACTTTTTTAAAAAATGTTTTGGCATTGATTCATTTTGTACTTACAGTCCTGTCAATATAGAGCATTGAGCAAGAATTGTTTTTTATACAAACAAGCAATTGTCTTTGTTTGTCGAGTACCAGAAAAGCTGTTCTCTTTTTTCTTTTTAACCATTGTCTAAAACAGAAAGCAGTAATTTTTGTTACAATTAGTGACAAATGTCTCAACCGTGTGCTGTTTCAACATGCAAACGCATCTCACGAACATTATGTTATGGATGTAATCAAAACTTTTGTCGCGAACATATGATTGAACATGATTTATCATTAAATTCACAATTAAATCCTTTATCTGATGAAATCAATGCACTTGGTGAACGTTTGAAATCAATTAATCTTGAAAACGCAATTGGTGATTCACATGAAAAATTAAAAAAATGGCGTGTAGATTGTTATAAAACAATTGATGATTTATTTGAACAAAAGTGTCAAGAACTTGATCGATGTATTGCAAAAAAAATGGAAAAACAACATGAAAAAATTAGTTGTATACGCGTTAAAATGTCTGAATTAATACAAGAGCAAGAAGCAACACACAAAGATATTGATTCATTAAAATCAACTTTACGAGATCTTGAACGTGAAATGAGTAAAATTGAACAAACATCATTTCAAATTGAAATTAAATCATTGATTATTGATGATAGTTTAATACATATTGAAGATTCAGATATAAATCGTTTTGATTTATCATCAATATCACCATTATATAAAACAATCAATTATACAAGAGAAAATTGGGCCCCATTAGCATGTAATAATCGTTATTTATTAATACATCAAGAACCAAATTTATGTTTAGTTGATCGAAATTTAACAATAATAAAACAAAATTCTTGGATATATGGAACAATTTATGATATGTGTTGGTCATCAGCATTAAATCGTTTTATTGTTATTAATGGTAGTGATGTTTTTCTTGTTGATGAAAATAATATGTCTATTGAAAATATTCAAGCGCTTCAAAAGAGTAAATGGTTATCATGTACAACATCTGAAACATCATTATTTTTATCAACAAAAGTATGGGGATCATCTATAATGGAATTTAGTTTATTACCAACAATTGAACTTGTTAAACAATGGCAGTCACCAGATACATGTTCGCGTGATGAAGTTATTAATGGAATTGTGTATAATAATGATACAATTGCTATGATGATCAAAAATCCATCTAAAAAAACTATACATATTGAAATGAGATCATCAGCTACATTAGATAGACTTTGGTCTGTTAGACTTAATATCGCATATAGTCAAAATATAAGAACTCGATGTTGTTTATTAAGTCATGATGAATGGCTTATTGTCGATCGAAATACTTCACGTCTATTTCATATATCTAAAGATGGAAATGTTAAATCATCATGTGCATATAATCCACCACCATTCTGTGCTACAGTATTTGATCAAAATATGTTGGCTATATCAACAGCACGAGGTGTAAACTTACATAAATTATAATGTAAAAATTATGATTATTATTTTTTTTGTTTTCTTGTCATTTACATATTCTCTTTCTCATTTGTATTTTGATTTAAAAGAGTAATAGAATTGGAGAATAATATTCTTCATTCATAAGTTTAAAAACACATTAAATTCATTCGATAAGAAATCTCTGATTTTTCTTCTGGTAACAGTTATCATATGGGAGTGCTCAGTCAGTATGGTACCCCATTAATATTTTTTTGATACAATCCCTATTGTAAGGATAAAATATACTATTGTCCGGGACATATGTGTATGAGCTGNAGTTTAAAAACACATTAAATTCATTCGATAAGAAATCTCTGATTTTTCTTCTGGTAACAGTTATCATATGACCCGGACAATAGTATGTTTTATCCTTACAATAGGGATTGTATCAAAAAAATATTAATGGGGTACCATGCTGACTGAGCATCCCCATATATATTTTGTATGAAATAATTATATTAAATTGATGTATATTAACCCTTAAGTAACCGACGATGCATATACGCATCATGAGTTTTATCGTTACATGAAAATAATATAAACACTTATAATGCATATTTTTTTCCTACACATTTACATAGAAGCAAACAGCAAACAGCAGGACGTTTTCTACATTATCATTTTATTACGGTCTTATGCGTTAAGAAATGAAAATGTGCATGGTGTAAAGCCATTCTATTTCACATGTGTGTATCTGTTGTCAGTAACCAAAGGATAATATATAATCATGCTTTTTTTTATATGATTAGTAGGCTAATAATGTATTTATATATTTTTATCAGTACTCTAGATGAAGTCAAAATTTGATAATAAATTACTGCCATCTAGAGAAGACTATTGGATACGAAAATAAAGTGCAAAAAAAAATATATATAAATTTATTTCAAAAAAAAAATAATAGTAATATAATGTCATCAAATTTAAGACTCAAATAATCTACCTTTTTGCCCACCACTAGTCAAATTAAAAAAGAGAGTTGATACACACAGGTGCTTTTTACTCTTATCGAATATTTGATTTCTTGTACTTTGGTTGAGAAGTATTCACAGGTGTAACAATTTACTTTTTGTTTTTAACATTGATTTTTTTCACATAAAAAAATGTGTGAAAATATTAATCGTGAGAATACGTCAGGAAAATGCTTATGTCCATATTGTTCAGGAAGTAAATAATTATCTATATATATATATTTATATGACTATGTTTTCTAGAATATTTTATTTAAAGGTATTGCAAGAGGACTTACAGCGATTAATGATAAAAATGTTTTTGAATGTAATCAATTAGTTGATAGTTATGACAGTGTTAAACCAAAAAATTTTAATGATTTATCAACTAAACTGGATTACCTGAATCCTATTCAATGCTTTGATATACTTGATAGATTGTGCAGTAAATATTCATCGTAGGGTTTTGTTGTTTTGTTTTTACATCCATGATCTATGAATTTTGTTTATAGTACAGCGGAACATTGGGAACTTGATGAATTAATTCTCAAATTTGTGGTTCGATTTCGCATTAATGGTGGATTTTTTATTGCTCTTAAAGAACCTCAAGATCGTAGACAACATCTTTTACGACGACTTACTGATTCAATCTTGACAAAGAAAGAAAATGTCGAAAAAGCTAATCTAACACCAACTGACATACACTAATAAATAATACATTTATTTATTTATACAAAAAAAAACCATATCCGCATATCTTTTGGGTACTCTATTCTATTTCTGATATTTCTTTCTTAATTTATATTCTAAAATGATTAATTAATGAAACCATTGTTATTTTTTTTAATATTCATATACGAGCAAAAACTTCTAATAAACATCTTTTTATGCTAAAAGTTGTTTCTGCCTTGAATCATATGTTATGTTCCAATTAATCCAAAGATATAAACATCATGTTGATGTCTTTAATTTCACACAGTGGTTGCATGTTTCCTCAATTATCTAAGGACTATAGATTTGTATGGTTGATTGATTGAGACAAGGCAAAACTAGTTTGACTTCCGTTGAAGCTACAAAATCTTCTAAACGAACCATACAACAATGCAAAGAAAAAAAAAGATAAGATGAAATACTTTCAAGTCAACATGGAATCGTTGGATGCTGTTTTTCTCATAACCAGTAACGAGAAAAGAATGATAAGAGAAAAAAAGAGGAAATAAGCAAAAAAAAAACTAACGATCTATTAAAGCGGATTGCATGTATGCAGATAATCGATCTAGAGGAAGAGAGAAATAGAAGTGACATGTAAAGAGTAACAATTATTTATTTGATAAAAATCTTGTTAGTAAGTAAGTAGTGTTTTCTTTAGATTAATATAAAAAAACAAAAGAAACAAAAATGGGATCAAATCAAGTTAAAATCGATGATAATGTCTACGAATCAATAGCAAAATATACACAATTAAAACGTGATGATATACAATTATGGGGAGAACGTTTTATTCAACAATGTACTTCAGGCTCAACAACAATGAATAAAGAACAGTTTTGCAAATTTTATCAAGAACTTCGTCCAAATGAAAATGTTAAACGTTTAAGTGAAAATATTTTTCGTGCATTTGATTTAAATGGTGATCATGGAATAAGTTTTTCTGAAGTATGTCTTCATATATTCTTCTTGTTATAGTATTACTCAAATATATATAATCTAAAAATGAAATAGATTTTCATCAGTAAAAAAATATATATATTCTTGCTTTCTTATTTGAATTATAAAAAATAGAAAAATTTATTATAATTATATAATTGATGAATTTATAAAATAAGAACACTGTCGGATAGAAAATTTTTCATTATTTCAGACACTATATCATACAAAGAAAACAAAAGATTGCCTTTTATAATGAATAATATTTTCATCATAAAAAGCTGCTTGAAAAGTCAGCCAAGAGCTCTTGAGAATGCATAACGAACGCCGTATAATTATAACTTCTCACATCCGACTTTTAGTTTGTTCGTTCCTGGGTCTCATCAGCACGTGTTAGAACTATTCTGTAAATGATAGAAATATTATCATTCTTTTACGGATGCAATTTCAGTTTGCTTGGCGAAGTGTAAAACTATCAGACAAAAACAACAAATATAAAAGATGTGAATACATAAGTTGCATCTGTTGTTCTGTCGGAAATGTACAAGTGTTATTTACCTCGATAGTTCTATTTTTATCAAATTATGTCTATGATTCTTGTTTGTTTTCTGTAGTTTCTTATTGCATATGTTTCTACAACTGAAGCACCATTAGAAGATAAACTTCGTTATGCATTTAATGTTTATGATATAGATCGAAATAGTTCAATTGATCGAGCTGAAGTTTTATTTATTTTACATGCAATGTTTGAATTATTAGGTATGAGTGATGATAAATCACGAAAATTATCATACGATCAATGTGCTGATACAATCATGAAAAGTCTTGATGTCAATGAAGATCAACGTATATCAAAAGAAGAATTTATTGAAGGTTTAATACAAGATCCATTTTTACAAATTCTTATGAATCCATTTCAACATGTTTAATTAAAAATTCATATAGCAAAAAAATATTTTTTTTTCTTACACATTTATTGCATTGTTTTATTCGTTCGTGTGATTTAAGGTTTTTTTCTCATTTTTCGGTTTTTTTTTTCTTTTATTTTTCTCTTTTTATTCATGATTTAATGAGAACAGCAGGAGTATGCGACTGATTCTGATTAAAAAAGAAAACGAAAATTGCAAGTAACGAAGCATCATACAGAATCATTCAATTGTTATATGAGCAACTTTAGCGAAGACAATCAAAAAATAAATTTATTTTTACTATGATTTCAACTGTCAAAAAGTAAATATCATTTTGTCTTAATTGAAATGTTGGATATTTATAATACCATCCCACCTGTGGAAGTGCCTTGTAAAACATTAACAGTCAATAGTATAAGATTTTCTTGAAAGCTTTTAGTTGTACTATGCAATAGCACTTACTCTTATATAGTCTTAGTAGGTGTCGAAATCAATTTATAGTCTTTATGAATAATCTTTAATATCAGCAAGATTGATACGAGTACATATGATTATTTTATATCGACTATTTACGTGTATAAAATATGAATAACACATAGTCTGTGCAAATCTCACAAATAGGTTTCTTTTTACTGTAAATTATTACACATGCTTCATATTGTCTTATTTAGCTATTATCTCCGCTTTAAGAGTGTGTGAATTTATATTATCTATAGGCAACAAGTAGAAACATTGTATTGAAAAAAGAAATGTTTATCTAGTTCTTATGACTAACGATGATGAAAGAGCACTTTGTTTTTATAAAAATTATTCGATTTCTACGAATTAAAAGAATCTATTCATTAGACATTTCAGTAGTGAAACAAACAAGATAAGCATCTATAAACCCAGTGCTCCATATGGAACAGAGATTATCTCAAGTTAAAGTGAATGATCAACATAATATATATTCCTCGAGTCAGACAGGATCGAACATAGCTCAGAGCTTGCAGATTCACATTGCAAACTCGATAATCTCATGTTGGTTGATGATATGAAATACAGTTCTACACTATACTATATTGTCAACTAACATAGTACAAAAAATGATTTCTGATCATTGTCTTTATATCCTTTGCAGCCAATACTTATATTTGCTTATTCTACGAAAGAAAAAAACAGGAATTAAAGCGATTGAAATTTTATAACGTAATACTTAACTAATATCAAAGTATGTATGCTGATCATAGACTTCGTTTCTGGCCGTTTCGAAATTCTCTTAGTGAACCTCTATATTCATATGATGATGATAACCTAATTGAAACAACAGCTGTTCGTGATCTTTATTCAAAACGTCTTCATCAAGAGTATCCTTTACCATCAGATATCTACTGTCATTCAAACACAAATAAATCAACTCGATCATGGCCAATATCCAGTCGATATCGTAGTTTTAATACATATCGTTTTAATGATATACATCCTATTTTACCAAGACCTATATCACCAGTTGAATTTCCACGCATCAGTCTTGATCATTATCGGCCACCATTATTTTGTACAAATTGTTGTCGTTATGATTTTTCACATTTAAATTTATATAATCGTGAACCATCATTTTTTCCTTTAGCACATAATTATTATCGTTTACAAACTGATTATGAAAAATTTCATATAAATAAAATTTATACTATAAAACGAATTGATTTAAAAAAACGCTGGAAAATTTATGGCTTAATATTGATATTTTATTTTATGTTAAAAAAAAATTTACGTTTAGCTAAACAAAAAGAGACATATTATCATCGTGATTATCGTCGTATTCGTTTTCTTGAATTATTAACAGCTGTACATCGTGTTTATCTTGAACCATATTCTTCTATACACAAAGCTCTATCATATGTTGTTAATAGTTCATCGAAATTATTAAATGAAGAACAATTATTTCAATGTGTGCGAACAATTATAAATGAAATAACAAGTTTTTTACCTAGTGAAGGTATTTTAGGTACAAATAGTGATGAATCTGTTTTAATTTATTTACTTAATTGTTCTGTTGAACAATATCCATCAACATATTTTTGGTCTATTGAAAGACATCTTCTTTCAATAAGTTATACAAAAATGAAAGAACATGGTCTTTTACGATTGGATCATTTTACATCAAAATTTCTTCTTATATCAACATTTATATTTCATTGTTTAATTAAAACACTTTTATTAAAACCAGTTAAATTTCGTTTAATACGCGGACAACTTAATCGTACACAGTGGCTAAATACACGTTTATTATCAACATTAATTCTTTATATAGCACGTCATGCTGTTTTATATAAAGAACAAAATCGTTTACCTATGCCATTTCCATTTGAAATGAAAAATTACTTAATGAATGATGAGAAATTAAAGGAAGTTTTTAAACATATTGAACAATTAATTGAATCTACGACACCAAAACTTAGCTCATGGGCATGTGAATATGCGGAACGATTACAACGTCATATAAGAGCAATGAAAACACGATCATAAACAAAAGACATTATTATTTAACAAACTTTAAGACAATTTGGTTGGAAAAAAATTTTGTCATATCTGTAGAAAATAAAATAAATGAAAAACGTGTTTATTATATTTCAAACTAAAATTATACTATGTGATGTTCCATGATTTGTAAGACAGAAAACATCTCGTTTCAATCTCTGAGTTTCTCGATGTACGATACAGCTTTTTCATATTTTTTGAATTGGTCTGTATAGATCATAATAAAGGTTGATATTTAGTATTATCAATGTTTTTCCGTATATATATATACTCTACTGAATATAATTACATGGCAATTGTTAAGGACACCTCTCTTCCTTCCCTCAATACAGTTGATTTTTCGAGAAAATCTCGATTTCGAGATTTATACATATTTTGAAAGTCCGTGAGTGGGTCTTCGGGTAGTATAATTTCTTTTTTGTCAAACGAAAAAGGTTACAGTTTTTCTGATGAGTCTTTTCCGAAGGTTCCCTAGTTAAACAATATGAATTTGCATCACATGGAAACTTATATAACTTTATAAAACGAAGGTTAACTTAATAAAGATTTCGATGATGTTGGTAATGAAGTCTGATTTTTTAATTTCCTCTTTTGCTGAAAAAAATTTAGATCGTTAATTGTGATTAGCGAGTT